TTTTGGTTGAAAATATTGGTTCGACGAAGCACTTATTACAACCTATTCCTTTAAAATTAAATTAAACAGTATAATTTATAATATAAATATGTTTAGTGGATTTGGCGAAAAAAAAAAAAAAACAGTAACAGCAGTCGAAAAAGAACGAATAAGTAATCTTTTGGCTGACGAGTTAGCCACGGTTAAGAAAAATTGAAACATTGACATTGACTGGGCGGAAATAACTCGAACTTCATCGACCGGGGAAAAGTTTGCTTATCTAGCAACTTTGGCAGAGGAACTCGATGAAGAAAAATTATACCGATTTTTAAATTGAGCCCAAGGCATTATTTTCAAGCAGGTTCACCGGCAAGTATTAAGCAAATGAGAAGAGGAGAAAAAGGAAAGCAGCGATTTAGTTTATTGATATAATGATTTAGAGAATTCAAAAGACCTAAAAGTGTTACTCGTGCGAGAAAAGGCCTTTGCGGAACGATGTATAATAAAGTGAGGAGTCAGTAAAGCCCGAGAAAAAAAATGAGGATTACCCTACTTTGGTCAACCCACCCAACCGCTTAAAATGGATGGGGGAACCGTGGACCTTTTTGATTATGCGAACTTGTTACACGAAGAAATTCATACCGGCACCCCGCATTTACTTCGGGGTTCTGCAATCATTACCATTAATGAGGAGTTAGAAAAATGGTTAGCGGAGGAGGCAGAAAAATCAGTCCGCCATCCGCAAGCAGGTTGATTTATTGAGGTTCAAAAAACTTTACAAATTGCTAGTGATTATACGAAAGAGTTTTTTGAGTTATGAATTAATTCCTCCCTTAAAGAAAATATTGATTTGTGGGAAAGATTATGAAAGGAAAGTTTTCACCACCCGAGCCAATTAAATCTTCACTACACTCGGCTCGTTGCCGAAGAAGAAATTTTTGCGGAAGTTGTCCACCAGGGACTAGATAAAAACCTTTTTTTAAAGGTCTTAGAAGAAAATGAGATAGCCGCTAACAAGATTAGTTCCGCCAAGAATGAATCCGAGATTGCCGACCAAAAAGAATGATATTTTGGTTTAATTGCCGAAATCGAGGAAACGAAACGATTATCTACCGAGTTGGGAAAAATCAATCAGCAGTTAATTAGTTGGGAGAAAGAGGAAAAAGAGTTAGTAGAAAGCGAGTTAAATTCTGAGGAAGTAAAATTAACGACATGCCAAGGAGAAATTGAAACTTTTCAAGAAAGGGGATTTTTAGTTAATCATTGGAAAGAATTAGCCGCTATCGCGGTCAGAGTTAAAAATAACTTGGGATTGCTATGGGATAAATATGAACGCCAACAATTAAGAAAAGAGAGGGGGCAGGCTGTGGCGAAGGAAGAAGAGGATACCATTGCCCGTTTGGAAAAAGAATTAAGGAGCAAGGACGAGGAAATTACTCGATTGAAAACCGAACTAAACAGTAGTTTTACCCCCCGCCGAGCCGCTCCCTTGCCACCGGTGGCGGAGAGTTCGGAAGTAGCCTCCAAACCAAGCTCGGTTCAAACCGAGCGACGGTTCAAAAAAATAACTGAGTTAGAAGACAAATTAGCCGAAAAAGACGAAACGATTAAATTTTTGAAAAAAACAGTTGAGGAACTCCAATTAAAAGTCTACAACTACCAACAAATAAATAACACTCTACAAATCGCCAACGGGGAATTAAGGGAGGTCAAGGAAAGTCTAGCCGAACAAGTAATTAGTTTAGAAGCGGAAAAAGAGAGATTATTAAAATCCTCGCTTCATTTACGACGTCTTTCTTCTTCTTCTTCTTCTTCTTCTTCGTTCCATCGTCATGAATTTGCCCGTGCATTTTCCCACGAATTTGAAATGTTTAAAGGGACGAGGGATAAAAATCCATTGGATGAAGAATTGGGGGGTTATTTTCCCCCCATGTGGGCTGGTGCTACCCAACCGGTTAAGCAAGATTTTAAGTATTCTTATTCCGCCAGTAATGTAGTGGCTAAACGCAATTCAGTCACCGCCAGGGGGGGAAGCAAAACCCCGGTTCCTATCTCCATTCTTTCGGATAATTTTTTTTCCACTCCTGCTCCGCTGACTACTACGGGAAGTATAACAGAAGAAAAGGACATTTATGCGGAAACTTTTGCCTCGGCTAGTTCAGAGAGGAAAGTTAGCAAAAAAAGTTCCGCCGCTTCTTTGACTATGCCCCCCATCGTTGAGTCAGACGAGTCCGAACTAAACCACCAGGCAACCCAAACTGGGTCTGGCTCCACTGCCGCTGACCTAGAAAATAAAATCACTAACCTAAACAAAGATTTGGATGAAACTTTGAGAGAGGTGGAAAAATTTAGGAAAGAAAACGAAGAGTTGCGGGCGGAAAATACTAGATTAAAAGGAAAAGGCTCAGTCTTCGCCACGGGAGGAATTTCCGACTCTATTTTCAGTTTAACCAAAGAAACCTTAGCCAAAACCACCCGCCACTACTCTTCCAGCGGCTTCCTCGCTCCGGATGGTCCTAAACCAGAAAAAAAAGCAACCTTACCAAAGACTCCGGAGGAAGTTTTCAGCGAATTAAAAGCTAAAATTAGCAGTTTAGAAAACGAGTTGTCTAACACAAAATTAGAACTCGACAGTAAACAAGTAGAAATTACTAAATTAAGAGAATTTATTAAGGAAAATATAGAGAAAAAGGCGGAAAAAGTAGCGAAAGGCATAGACTTAGATGAAGAATGAAAAAAGTTGATGGAGAAAGAGAAAGAGAAAGAGAAAGAGAAAGAGAAAGAGAAAGACGAGTGGGAGAAAAAATTGAAAGCCGAAGAAGATAAAAATATCTGACTAAGCGGTCGGTTAGCCACCAATGAGGTAATCACTAACTTTCTGAATACTTTTTTGAATAAACAAATTGCCGAGAAAGAGGAGGTTCGCACTAAGGCCGAGGCGGCGGTCAGGGAAAACAATCAATTGCAGAATGCTCGTTCTGACTTAGAAAGGGAAAAAAACGAATTAATTATTCACGGACGACTCCAAGCAGGAAAAATTATTCGCTTGGAAGGAGAATTAACCAACACCCGAGGAAAAATTACCACCTTAGAATTAAACCTTAAAAACCATGCTGCCACCCTCAAAAAGCAAACTGACACTATTAATAATTTAAATGGGAAACTAACTGCCGCCCAAACGGAAGTTAACCGATTAAGCAGTCAACTCAACACCACGGAGGCAGAATACCAGAAATTACAAGAGCAATTAGAAACTGCTGAAACTGCTCTGACTGATACCCGAAATGAATTAAAAGAAAAAGTCCGATTACAGGAAGAGTCAAGTCGAAAAATTTTAGAATTAGAAGGTAGAGTAAGCACCTTAAAATCAGCTCGGAATAAAAGAAAAGCCGAGCAATTAAAAGCAACCAACGATTTCGAAAAAAGATTAAAAACCTTAGAAGGCATTAATCAAGAACTCTCCGCCGTTAATATCCAATATAAGTTAGATTTAGCAGCGGTCAAAAAGGAAAATAATCGCTATTCAATGGAACTAAGGGCTGCCGCCAGCCAAGGGGAAAATTTAACCCAGGAAAACCATAAATTAAAGAAAAAGTTAGAGGGCATTCCGAAAGATTGACAAGCCATCATAGAAAGAAATCAAGCAGAAAAAAACAACTTAACCGCGGAAATTAAGGAATT